ATGAAACCCCTATTTTTTCTTTAACATTTAAAAACAAATCATGGAAGGCACATGACAACAAAATTGTTGCTCGTCGACTAGCCTTCTATTTATTAGCTGCACACAAAAATAAAATAAAATCTTTTAACATCAATAATCAATCAAGGCGTTGGTACACGAGAATGCTGTGAGACGCGTCAGGTAGTACAACTTACAATAATAATTTAAATGTTGTTCGAGTATGACGTGTCGGAAACTTTGACGCCATTTGGCACATGGGCGTGATATTGTACTAATGTACTGCCAACCAAAGAATATCTCAAAACTATTCGAACCTCGTCATCGACAGTGTAGAAACAGATCCCTTATACGCATCGAGTTTTGACATTGTCTGCTAATCATTAAGTTACCGTGATTTACATTTTTTTAAATATTCTATCGGGACAGAGTGTGAAAATATTTAGGATTGAAGATTCGACGTTTTGGGAGAAGAATATCTCAGAACTATAATAATAAATTGTGATATATATATATATATATGATGACTTTTCTTATGATGACAAAAAGGAAAACACTAGATAAATGTTGATTGTGACAACCAGTATAAATACTTATTAGTGCGTGGATGGATGGATGGATGCTTAATTCATAAAGCTAATTAAAATGATTGACAATCATAAAGCATGGGTGGCCAATGGATTTTATGGAATTAGTGACAATTATTAACCTAATAATTTGTTTTAAATGATTGATATGGATTAACTGGAAATTAGTAAAAGAAGTAAATCACGAGACTTGAGTATGTTTAAGAAGTTAATCCATTGATAAATGGGTTAATTACATTGTTATTCAAATTAATCCCTTAATTTCTTTTACTTTAAGAAGAGAGAAATTTTAGAATATTACATATAATAATATTGTGTGTAATTTATATTTAATAAAGGTACATATCTTTTCTCCTTTATATTTTATTAAAGTACGTAATATAATTTTATTAAAACACTTCAACATTATTAAGCACCATCATACAAATTTTTGTTAAACACAACATCTATATGGAATGAAAATGCTAATTCCAAAACTAGAAAAGAAGAAAATTCTTGAAAAATGCATGTGACTGGTTGGAAAGGATATGGTTTTATTTTTAAATTATAATATATAATATTTCATTCTCTACTTATCAATTAAATTATTTTTAGTCTTTGGACATTTTCAAATCAATCAAATTTAGTCTAATATATTCAAAAGATCTTCACTATCACCAAAAAATAAATGTGTAACTTTATGAGAGTATTTGAAATTAAATTTTGTCAATTTAAAAAGTAGTCAAATTTTCAACCAAAAAAAAAAAAGGAATCAAATTAAAAAGTAAAAACATTACCGTAGTGAAGAAGAAAAAAAGTGGAATTAATTGGGTTTGGTGGCATCAAAGTGATGAGTTCAATGAAGTCAGAGCACATGTTCGACGTTAACGCTACTGTTTATTTCGCCATTTTCAACACTTCGTTTTAACTTTATTGGTAGCATTTTTTTTTTTTCTGAAAAATACTTAGTGTACTCCCATTTTAAACTCCCAACTTATACTTCCTCTCACATGTTTTTGATGTAGACATTTTTCAGTGAACTCACATGATAAAAAATAACCAATCCTGATTTGCCACCTCACAAAGTATAAATAAGGGAGTAGAATTTTGGGAGTCTATGTAGTAGAACTCTTTTTTTCTTAGTAAAAAATATTATTACATACATGATATATATATATATATATATATATATATATATATATATATATATATATATATATATATATATATATATATATTTGTGTGTGTGTCTAGGATCAGGTGTGAAGAACTCTCCATTCATGTGAAAAATGCGTACAAATCTCAACCATTAAATTCATTCAGATCTATTCATCTTTAAAAAATTTACACTTCAAATTAACAAAAATTGTCACTTGAAAGTACAAAAACATGCACTTGAAGGTACAAAAATGTGATTCATTTTCCTTTGACTAATGCTTCATTTTCCCCCCTCTTGCCAAATTTTTTAAAACGCAAAAAATATTTTCCATAAGTCATTTTTCGGGTTTCCAAACGCATCCTTAAAGTTTTTCTTCGCATATGTTCTGTAATTAATATATATATATATATATATATATATATATATATATATATATAAAGAAAATGATGAAAACTACTTGTAACGATCTGAAAAAGATAATGAGTACAACTATTCTCCAACATCATCATAAACATTGTCATTAGTACCGTATATTCATTTTAAGTAAATGGTGAGTTCATTGTGCATTATATTGTTCATAATTTCAAATTGTGCGTACTATATTTAGGTAAAGACACAATGAATGGACATCAATTAAGAGGAAAAACAAAACAAGAGAAAAAAGTGAACCGATACAATGCACACTCTCAAAAAGTTTAGCAACAAATCTCAAAAGAATTAATGATGATAATTAAGGTTTGATTAAGTTAATAACACATAAATTACACATGTCGTGTAGTGGATGATCCGTAGAAAAGATGAACCTATGCTAACGAATGTGCTAGGGAGAAGGTGAATGGTCATTATTTATTTAGGGTCATCAATTATTGTAATTATGTTTGTGACTTTAGTAATTGTAATTTTTAGACTTTTATAAGTTAATAATTTCTTTTTTTTTTTTTTTTAAATTTCATGAATGTATTGTAGTAAATGAAGTTGTACTTTTTACTTAAAAAATTATAATTGATTTATAAACGTATAATTATTATAATATTTGAAACAAAAATGTTAATATGGCCCTTATTGTCAATTTATAGTTCTAGGTTTGGAGTAACTCCAATCAAGTTGGTCGAATAGTTAGCTTGGTAACAATAAGGTTATAAGTATGACTCTTCGTTGGAGCTGTTTATTGAGCTTTTTGGTTTGAACCGACTAGCTATGGCAACCAGCCTAGGCTGGTTTACTTCTTTGTGGTCCTTTGTTAGTTAGGTCACAAGGCGGTAGCGAATGCGGACTTTCCTATAACCCAATTAGTAGAGGCTATTAGAGGATAGATCCTTGATATGTGCAGCATTTGTCAAATTGGTCAGACAGTTGACTTAGTAACTACTAGGTTCTAAGTTCAACTCCTCGTATGAGATGTCTATTGACCTCCTTAATTTGAGCCGATCAGCTAGACAACCTAAGACGGCAAAAGCGCGCAACTGTAAACTTTCTCGAAAAGTAAAGATTTGCATAATCTCATACAACTAACCCATTTATTGGTGGCCATTAGTGATTAGTGGATAGATCCTTGATATCCTCAACATTTGTAGGAGTGTAATAAAATAGGGGAATTAATTAATTGAATTCATTGCATAGATATATAGATCCAAAACATGGCAAATGGTGTGACAATAGCTTCAAGAGTGGGGAATCCATGGCAACCTAATTTCCATGAACCACAATAACTGGGGCCATGCATGCTTTTCATCACAACTCACAAAACTACTAGTGGTGCCCCATCTCCCTTTCACTTCTATCCTCAGTATTTATGCCTTAAAAGCCTGCAGGACACTTGCCTTCCCCACTTCCCTTAATAGCATTACAACTACCCAACACAAACACTCTTTCGATCAGCTTCTTGACATCTCACCCATCCTTTTCACCCCCACCCTCCTCACATTTTTATGGTCTACATGTATTTATCACCATAAAATATCACCCGCATTCAATTCTCTTAAAACAGCGGGTTCAGCTCGATCTTAAGTTATGGTTGAATAGCGATTTTTCAGCTTTAGCTGTTCATAAACATATAGATACTAGCTCGGTAAGTTTTTAATTACGTTGCGATATTATTTTATACGTTGGAAAGAAACAAAACGTAACAATCCAAGAAACGTTAATAAAAGTTGAGGAAATCTAAGCCAAGCGACCCCGATTGGCCGATTAGGCATTGCCAATCAATTGATAACTAATAGTTTAAGAGTAAACACGTCGACTGCTTGTTTAGAATTCACATCACAAACAAATTACATTGTAATTTTGGTTAACAATCGAGAACTAAAATTGATATTGAGTTATAAATTAGAAGTAAAACATTAATAGGAGAGGACCACAACCACAACATTGTTAATAATTTTGGACTAAAGTTGTTATTAGTCAACCATAATTTAAAGATAAAAACTCTACTCATATTTTTAATAAATGTCAAGATTTTTATAAGTATTTGACTATTTATAATTTAATTACAAATTGATTGAATAAAATCACGCCAAACTTAATACATGAAACATTGTCCTAGTGTTATTTTTATTGTATAATATAATAGTAGTTGCACCTTAGATTTTTGTGGAAGAAATAAAGGAAATAAAATAAAAGAAGTAATCTTTCCTTTTTCATATATGGCAGTAAAAGATAAAATCCATATTTATTATGACAACTGATATTATTTCAATATACTTGACAAATATACTCTATTACAGTGTAGTATCTGTCTTTTTTCTTTTTGAAGATTGCCTAAAGATAAGGGTTCAATAATGTGACATTCTCCTAACGAGAGTCACAGAAATGTCAAGATGCTTGACTACTGTATTTTACACATTGTAAGCCGCTTATGGTAATTTCCATTTTTAATTTTGCCTAATCATGGCTGTTTTTCTTTTATTTTTTACAAAAATATTTTTGGTTTCTATTTATGGTTGTTAATCAATGTACGACCAAAGTAATTGTGAAAGCCATAATGCTTAGATGGGGACCACATTAGTATATGGATGCTTTTCACAATCCCAAAACTAGGATTCCCTAGCCTGAGTTTGGCATACCACCCAATCTTTATTCCCATACCTATATGATAGTTATATGATATTAAAAGAAAATTAGACTAAATTAATGAAAACATAAAAACTTATATGATTCTTTGAGTCAGAAAGTTATTAAAAAGAAGGAAAAAATGAAAATTTTAATTCACTATTTTTGAAGAAAAGGAATTTACAGAGAGAAAAAAAAAAAGGACTAATCCGTAATTCTGTTCCTCTGCTTTTTTTTTTTTTTTTTTTGTTTTTTATCATCAAGAAGACATGTTAACGTGAACAGTGGCATTCATGTTAGAGTTACATACTGGGCAACATCGTATCAGGGTGGACCCACACACTGTGCAGAGGCAGAGATGCCGACACGGCAGCAGCAAAACACTCGATTCTCTCTCGCCGCATCGCCGGCAAATCCGGCCGACGGCGCCGGCGCCGTTGTTGCTGTCCTGAGGATCCGTTACGGGGGTGCGCCACTCCGGCATCGCCGTGGAGACCTCCGGGTCTCCGCGGCCGTGATCGCTGCTTCCGCAGCAGGACTCGGCGTCTTCCTCCACCGGCGCGGCGGCGGCGGGGAAGGAGACGTCGGAGGCGACGTGGGCGAGGACTTGTTCAAGATTGCTCCGGAGGGAATTTGCGGCGGCCTCGTTCGTCTGCGCCATGTCCCGCCATAGCTGATTCTCCACGTAAAGACTCTTCACCCTTTCTTGTAGGGCTAAATTTAATTTCCCCATTCTTTGGATCTCTTCGTCTTTCTCCCTCAGTTTCTTCACCATCCCTTCTCCGATCGACGCCATTAGATTCCTCGCCGTCTGTTTCTGCCTCTCCTCAAATTCCATCCTAAGTTTCTTCGTCTGAAAAAACAAATCCAAGATCAGAAAACAGATTCTTTAAAAAAACCCAAAAATTAAAATCTCTGAAATATGTGTGTACGTACATGATGCGAGACGATTTTGTCTATCTCCGATTGCAAGAAATCATCACCGGCGACAGCGGCAATTTGTGTGTTCTTTGGAAAAACAGGGGACGGATTATAGAGATCGAGAGAATCTCTAGATCGCTTCCCCTGAAGCGATGGTTGCTGAACACTATTCCCGGCGGCGCCATTCACCGCCGTCTTCACCGGCCGAGATCGATTAAACGGGAAGATGCTCTGATATCCGGCCAACCTTGGCTTAGTACTCATGAAATCTCTGCAATTTTCCATGCCCAACGGAATAAAATCGGAGAATTCTTGGGGGAGAAGGAGAAGATTAGAATTGGCTTCAACCGCCATGGGAGAGAATTTCCGTGCTTAACCTAGACAAAACTAGAGAGAAGACAGAGAGGAGCGACAAACAAGAATGGGTTTACACTGCATTTGGCTTTAAATAGGTGTAGGCGTAGTTAAGGTTTCCTAAAACTAAATTGTCCGTTACCTAGTAACGGGATAATTTTAAATTTTTGTCTTGATCCTCACGTTTGTATATATCTCTTCAAGACCACATCCTTTTTAGTATTATATTTTAGCCCTCAAAACTTTGGGTGTTTTTTTTTTTTTTTTTTTGAATGCTACTAACTCTATTAGATTGTAGTATCTGTTCATATACTTTCTCAACTTACTGAAATACAAAGAGCCAATAACGCCTCCGTTGAGGCTCGAACTTACAACCTTCCAAATGGAAGTCCAACCCGGGTGTTTTTTTTAATTACTTTCAAAATTTAAAAATTTTTGGGTGTTTAATAGTATTTTAAAATAATTTTAAATTTATAAATTTTATATATTAATTCTAAACTTAATATAATGTAAAATTAAATTATAAATAAATGTAATCAATATCGCGAACCGAATTAGATACATAAAATGATATATACATAAAGAATATTAAAATTCATTAGTGTCTCACGATGTGAAATCTTTGCAAAGAAAATATTTTTGGATCAAAGATCATTTTACAACGATGAATCGAATCAAATCTTGACATAATGGTGAATTTCTACTAATAAGATGATAGTAATGTAATATAACCAATCAAATTAATTTATTTTCAAACCGTTATAAAAAAGAAATCAAAGTTTGTAATAACTAAAATAAAATTAACCAAGTACCCCGTATTTGAAAAGAATATCTAATAGTAATTTACAAAAATTTTAACTATTAAATTAATTGAAAAAAATACAATCCAAGATCTTTTTTTTTTTTTAATATTTATGAATTTTTTTTCAAAACAATTTATTATGCTTAAAATAATAAACAAAAAAAATATTTTCATAATTATTTATTATACTTAAAAATAATGAGCACAATAAATTTAGAAAATTTAATTAATTACTAGTAGTGAAGACTTCTTATATACAGAATTATTTCGATAACTTAAAGATTTATTTTCTTCATGAATTTGAGACTGATTCATTGAATCAATCAATGATATGATTTGATGATGCTGAAGAAAAGAAAACTAAAAATATCAAAATAATTAAGTCAGGCATTAAGGTTAGGAAAGTTTCTTTCAAAAAAAAAAAAAAAAAAAGGTTGGGATTAAGAAGGTCTAATCATTTCCAAACTTCAAGAATATGCCACTGTCCCACGTTATTTTGGCAATTTTCCTCGTACACATGAATGTAAAGCCAACTATTTATACGGCGGGAGTAACGGAGGTGTTGGTAATATTTAAAGTAATGCATTTATTGTGTATCTGTTTCAATAGTAGTAACTATATATTATTTCTTAAATTTATTTCTTAATAACTTTTTTCATCTTTTTCTTCTAAATATTATCTATTGAACCAGTAAGTTAAGGCCGTCGACTTAATAACTTTTTCCTCAACCAACATACTGTTAGTAATATGCATTTGATTAACGTGAGTAAAACTTCAAGCGTGAATGTAGATTAATGCATAATGACTCGACTTCAGGAGATGTCACTAGACTACCACTTTAGTTTTAAACAAGAAGTGGGCTCATCAACATGCTTGATCACTTTTTGGGTTTTGGTAAAAAAAATATTGAACTAAGTATAACTCTAGCACATTTAACAAATGTAATTAATATTTTCAAATATTGTTCTAGATTTTTAGTTTTTGGAGGACCCAAGCACTACATGATGTTGGTGGATGGAAAGACCAAACAATAGTGGAGGACATATATTTTTCAGTCAGAGCTAGTCTTTGGGGATGAAAATTTATTTATATTGGTGTCTTAAAAGTGAGTCAGTTTCTAAATTTACCTTATATATACTAGTATTTAGAAGACAGTCTTTGTGTATCCCCGCGACCAAAAGATTATTCAACGAAAAGGAAGAGTGAATGAAAACAAAGACGTATATAAGCATCGTGCTGCATTATGGCAGCATTCGTGCGGTGGTCATGATAGCGGAGGTTTTGATGATGGTTGTCTTGATCTCTCAAATGTATTTATTACATTATATTTTTTTTCTAAAAATAAGAAAATGGTGGTACTTTGTTTATACTACCTAAACTATTAAAAAGAAGAAAAATTGACACATAACAAACATGTATTTTTTTTTCAAACAAAAAAAAAAAAAAAAGGCTCTAGTACAAAAAATATTAAAGAAGCTACCTTAATAATGTATACATGTGTTAATTATAAAATTAATTTTTATTTGATTAGGTATATGCCATACTTTATAATATAAATGTAAAATATATAATATGTATCATAATTTTAACGACTAACAAATCATGACTCTTCGCCTTAAGCCCATATCAAGCCGTTGCACAACCGCCGCACGGGTGCCTATGTAACCATAGTATCATATTATTTTTCTCTTTTAATTTATTCTTCACTAGATTTTAAGCTCTTTATTCGAATCGTATGTAGGTTTACATGGCCATCAAATCGACTTATCGAGCAAGTTCTTGATGACTTCACCAATGATAATTTAAGAGTATTCTCTCAACTTAACATGAACTAAAACAAAGATTGATTCAAATTAAATGTTATGAATTTATTACAGTAATAAGTAATTCATTGAGAACCCGTAGGTAAAAACTAGTGAGGATGAATATGAAAATTGGATGTAAAGAGGGGTTAATGTGAAATACTAGACATGGAACAACAAAGATTTTTAGCCTAATAATGACTTTCTATATATTGATGAACATCTCTTATCTTCTAGAAAATCCAAAATTGGATGACTTTAGTTCAAGCAAGATGGAAATTTGGTAAGCTAATATTATCATTAACTTCATCATTTCTCACTATTTTATATATAAAAAATAAAATAAAAACTAATCTACGTATATATAATCTCCTGAGCTTTGATTCATGTGATTAACATGAGTGAAATTTTAACCGTGAATGCAAATGAATGTATAATAACTCAAGTTTAGAAAATCGATATCATAGACTTCAACTTCAGTGATGAACAAGAAGTGAGCTCATCAACATGCTCAAATTTTGGGTTTGATAAACAATATTGAATCAAGTATATATCACTCTAACACATTTAACAAATATAATTAATATTTTTAATTAAATATTGTTCTAGACGGTTGATTTTTCAAGGATTTAAGCATTGCATGATGCTAGTGGATGGAAAACTCAAACCATAGTGGAGGACATGGACCTTGCATTTAGAGCTAGCCTTAGGGGATGTAAATGTCTTTATATTGGTGACTTGGAAGTGAGCCAATTACTTACAAATTTAGTTATAGTAATACTTAAAAAATCAAGCTAAGTCTATATGTATCATGTGTCTAAAAGATTATTTAACAAAAAAAAAATGAAAATATAGGCATAAATAAGCACTGTGCAGCAGTATGGCCACAATTGTGTGATGGTCATAGTGACAGTAGTCGTGAGGCAATCGTGATGGCGGTTGAAGTGATGATGTCTTATCTTTATAATATTTGTTTTCTAAAAATAAATAAAATGTGATGCTTCTTTCATATTACTTAATAATAATAATAATAATAATAATAATAATAATAATAATAATAATAATAATAATAATAATAATAATAATAATAATAATAATAATAATAATAATAATAATAATAATAATAATGTGAAACGTAAGAAAATTTTGATATATATTTTTTTTCAACAAAAAAATGAATGAAGCTACCACAATTTATTTATTTTTAGAATGTGGTAGTATATATGTTTTCGTTGAATAAAATATACACATACTAATTATAATATTAATTTCAATATATTATGTATGAAATGTAATAAGGCCAGTAACATTCAAAAAAAAAAATGTATGAAATGTAAGGATTACATTTTATTCAACGAAAACATATATACTAAAATATTGGAAATATAGTAAAATTGAAAGTCAAACTTTTTTTTTAAAGTACTATTGACTCTGTTACAATGTAGTATCAGAGTCAATGCCCCCATTGAGGTTCAAACCTGAGACCTACCTGTGACCTCCCAACATGTAACTTAGGTGTGACCTTCCATTTAAGATAGTCACAATTATTCCGCTCACAAAAAGTCAAACTTAAAATTTCCTAAAAACTCAATCTTATATGACAAATTGGCTTCAATTAATTCATTATTTATAAAGTAAAAATATAAAATTTTAAAAAATTTTATTGGACACAAAGAAAGCACCACAACGCTAGATGCTTGGTGCAATGATGCTTCTCCCATGTTGTTTTCATAGATGCATTTCTTTTATCTCAGGTCAAAATAAAAATTCCTATAATTAATCTTCAAAATCACTTTTAAAATTCTAAAAATTTTGACTTTTTCTAACAAAAGTTAATTATTATCTAAAATATACGTTTTGATGTTTCATTTTTTTTTAAATTTGCATACTATTATTATTATTATTATTATTATTATTATTATTATTACATAGTAATGAGATTGAACATTTTATGAGTAACTAATGAAAATAAAGATTTTTTAAAAATTATATACAATTTTTAATTTTTGAGTATACCTAAGATTTTCACCGTCGGACATCGTGACAATTCCCCTCGCTGAATTATATGCACTTCTTTTAGGTGGGACAACTATATAATTTCTATTTAAAAAATAACATTTGGTAATGATTATAATCCAAAAAAATAAAGTATTTTTCATTTATTATAATTTGTGCTACTGCTGCTGACATTGTAGTGGCTTTTATGACATGATTGATGCCATATCTTGAAATTAAAGGCATGATCAGTGCTGTCCCTAATTCTTTCCTTAATCTCCTCCAAATTTCAAGCATCAATATCTGCCAATTATTTTTCTTTATATTTTAAATTTTAAATTCGGATTCCATTGAAATTGACATTGAAAAGGAAAAAAAAGAAGTAAAGAATCAATATATTAAAAAATAATCAAAGCATTACTAGGAAATGAAGGGGTTATAATCTAGCTAGTAAATGAGTCATTTCATTGAGATCTTATCCAACACTAATAA